ACTAAATAGTCACTTTTCTTTCACGGGTTAAATAAAATCTCTCTAACAAAATAGTACGAATTAGTGAAAAGTTTTGTTCTATTGAGGCCTATACTGAACTAACTAATTTGTGCAAATTTCTGCAATTTCTTACGAAGTTATTTTCACATATATATGTTTTGCACTCTAGTGAAGCCAAGGCCATACTGTATCTATAAAGACAATGTGAAAGAATTAGTCTTAAGTTAAAAAAAATGACTAAATTTTAAAATTTTGTCATGAAGGCAAGTTTGAAAGTAAGTTTCAAATTTTTTTTATGCTAGCGCGAAGGTAGTTTTATTCAGCAAGGATAGGTGGAAGAAGGTCAAGACATAGCGTACATTTAGATATAAGCTTAGAGCACTCCTAAGACCCTATCTTTTTTATCGCTTTTATTCGTTAAGAAAAACAACTGCACACCTGTCGTGCAATGAAGCGGTTTTTGCTTAAGGGGAAACTTGGGTACTGACTTGCCGTACCACTAAAATGGCTTCCCATAAGAATGGTTATCTTATGAGTGGGAAACATACGGTACTGACTTATAGTACGTACACGGTACGACATGCCGTACTACTAAAAGGGCTTCCCATAAGAATGGTTAATAATAATAATAATGTTTAATATTTATAAAGCGCAAATTAACATATGAATATGATCAAATGCGAATACGATGGTTATCGTATTCATGAGTGGGAAACATACGGTACTGATGTATTTGTCGTGTCGTTTCCCACTCTCTTGCACTAAAAGCACTCTTGCATTTCGACAACTTTGAATTCAATACGGACAAGTTCTTTTGTGAAGAAGAGTAGAATCAAGTAGTATACATGATTACATCCTGATTGGCTTGCTCTTAAGTGTTTTCTTACTTTACACAGATTCATCCAAACGAGAGTTTCTTTTAAGAGCATTGTACAATGAAGAGGTCTTGTAATAGGTAAATCTTGTTTTCAAGAGAGACGGTCGTTCTTCAATTCTCGGTTTTTTCCGCAAAATCGCTCTCATCACTCCTTGAAGTAGCTTAAAAAATTCGTTTCGAAAGTTCTCGTTGTAGATGAAGTAGATAATGGGGTTTAGAGCGCTATTCACGTGTCCCATAAACCAGCCAATGAAAACTAGGATAGGGCTTAGACCACACCTTTTAATGAGTTGATCGTCAGTAAATAGGGCAATGAAGACTGTCACGTGAACTGGAAGCCAACAAACTGCAAAGGTGACGATGACAGTGACAATCATTCTTAGTACCGCTTGGTTCTCCTTACACGCAACTGTCTTGTTATGATGAAGATGCTTGCCCCTCCAAAGCTCGCGCAGAAGAGCGGAGTAGAAAACGATCACCAAGACGAGTGGAATAGCGTAGAGAAATACAAATAACACTATTGTGTAATCTTTCGAAGCTCTGTCATCGTCAAAATGGGGTTCCCAGTCTTCATAGCATAGCCTGACTTCACCATCTTCATGTAGTTTCATAGCATACAATAAAGGTGCATTGAAAATGACCCCCAAAACCCACAGGCCTCCAATCAACGCTTTAGCTCGTCGTTTCGTGATAATCTTCCGAAAGGGAAACACGATAGCTAAGAAGCGATCTGCAGCAAGTGTGAACATAGTGAGAATGGATACCGCGATAGCCAGTCCCTGTAGAAATGGCAGCATCTTGCAGATAAGAATTCCAGCAATGCCCTGTAACAAGCTATGAGATATATTCTTCGCTGCGATACTGAACATGGACGTTGGCATGCAAATAACCGCCATTATAATGTCACTTATCGCTAGGTTAGCGATGAAAAAGTTGGTTGTTGTTTTGAAGCTGCTTCGTCGAAAAACGATGGCCAGTACAGTGGCATTACCAATGATTGCCAGCACAAAAGCTACTGCATAAACCGTTATCTTGATAGTTATCACCACTGTCGAGTCTCTACTGATGTCTCGGTATTGACTACAAGAAAGGATAGAACCAAAACTCTCATTCACCGACCTGTTTGAAGCTTCCCTCGACATCAAGCTTGTGTTAAAGGCCATATTAATGTACCTCACTCAATGATGGTTTCCTCTGGAACTAAGAAAAAAGTCGAATTCAATAAATATACTAAAGTGAGTTTTTGTGCAAGAAATCATTATTGTTTAGTTAAAAGTAGCTGATTTCCACTGTGTTTTAAGTAGCGAGACTATCTATTCAAGCACTTATTGGCGTCTTCAAGTCGCAGTTTTCCGTAGCACTTTCTTATTTGAACGCTCCATTTGGGGCTAATTAAACAAACCTATAATATGATATATTACCGGCTTTAAAATAAGGTTTTTGGAATTGCGGATGTATTGTTTAAGTTTACTCCGACGAAGGACTAGCGTCCGAAACGTCAATAAGTTTTTTTCATCTTTTCACGGTGTATAATTTACCTTTTTATCATTACTGTTTCATTAGAAACACCGACGCAGCTCACACTAGTTTTTTGTCATTTTACTGTCTGTATTTAAAATATGCGTGCTTCCTAAAACTCCTCTTGTTAACTACTTTTGATGCAAATTTAGTTAATTTGCAAGAGGGTTCTGAAGGAGTAAAATATATTAACTGGGATTTGCACTAGAGTACGACAACACTACAGTAATTGGCTGTGGTGTTGTGGTGTCCCTGCCCCGCCTCACGTGAAAAAGAAAATAAATTAAATTAAAAAATAATACTGTCAGGCTTTTGACTTTAACTTCAGAAATACAATTTACCTTTAGCGTTTCTTCACTAGGCTCATGTTTCTTTCATTTATCATTGCGTAATTGCGACGACCACGGATAGCGACATGAATGAAGGCTGTATCATAATGGATTATCATCGCATCTCCCTTGAGTGGCCATCCAACCTTTAGGGAAATGTGTAGAATGACTATATAACAATCGTATCACTTGATCAGTCCACCAACGGCAAAGCAGCTGGATATCATATAATACTGATAATCTAAAAGAGAATAAAACTAAATAAATTAATAAAAACCTACATATCATTATATTTTCTTAATAGAATCGTAGCTAGGAAGGAAGAACACTAGATAATCTCCAATAAAAAAAACTCATCTTATTAGATAGACTCAGAACTTTTCTGGGACTTCCCTGTTTGTGAGAAAGCTAAATGCATCAATTTTTGGTAGGTCAATTCCTATTTTGCTTCGTTTTCCGTGTCTGGTTCTAGCTTAATAGATCTTTGAAGAGAATAAACTCAGTTGGACACTAGGCCTTCGATTATTGACCAAAAGTGGTTAAAGTATGCCTAAGGATGCTCTAGTTGATTGCGAGCAAAGTGGATATATAAGAGGAAAGGACAACGAGTCCATTAAAACTAAGAGCAACTCAAATACTAGACTCCGAAATAACCCGCCAGTTATCTGATATCGCGCAAATACATTTTGAATTTATTAATTCAGCATAATATGGCCTAAAAACTTCTTTATATTCTTCCATTGCTTTTTGTTTTTTCAACGCGTTTTTTTCAGTTTCATCTTCGGCAGATACAGGGTTTTCACAAGGAATTTTCAAACAGGTGAAGCGAACGAATAACTATTAAAAAAGACTGTAGTTTGGCGAACCAACAAAAAAAAAAAAAACAGCTTTTAATAGCGCAGCGCGCTGATTCTAAAAATAGCTTAAAGATTCGGACAAACATTGCATTCTGTTTAACCGCTACGAGGATATACGAACCGATTTTATTATTCTTACTTAAAGTTACAATAATAACCCATGTAAACTAAGATCAACTGCGATCGGCTGTGAAAATTATCTGCTGAAAGTAAACTTGTAAGTTTGCTTGTCCGAATTTCGCCTTTGTCTTCGTTTTTATGACGTCACGGCTGCGCACGCTATTGCTGGTTTTCAATCATTCTCAGGGGATTGAAATCTCAAATGACACGGCGGCCATGTTGGATGATATAACAAAAGAATTCCTTGAAAAATCTATTTCTGAGATATGGGCAAACGAAGTTTACGACAGATTTCTAGTGTAAATATATGACTAAAACGGTCGCTCGTTGACATTAGGGATGCCAACCAAGATGGCAGCCAAAATTTCAAAAAAGATTTCATTACGACAATTTGCATGCATAATTCGAATACAACAATCGTTTGGTTGGCTCATTATTCACTTTTCTTTCTTAACTTACTCAGGCTCCCAGTAATGGATCCAGGGGAGGGGTGCAGGGGGCGCAGCACCCCTCCCTGAACAAATTCCTGGATCCGCCCCTGCTCTCCTAGGTTAAGATGGAGGCGTAATAATGTTTTCCCCTTTCAGAAAGTGCCATGACTTCAAAAATAATAACACACACACAAAAAAACAGGATAATCAATTATGATTTTAACAGCAACCATAACTGGGCATGTTGGCTCACATCCTAAATTAACACCCACATTGATAAAACAGCCCACAAGGAGCCACAGGGAGCCCAATTTAGATTAAAGTGAATGGAGAAAATAAAGTCGGAAAACTAAATAGTAATTTTTTCCCTTAATTCGAGGTCAAGATAATGACCTCCGTAATGCGAAGGAGTAAAAAAATAGATAAAGAATGCACTAGAATATTTGTTTTCGCGCGCTCCTTTGTTTTCCTATATAATTCCCCTAAAGATAGGAAAACAAAGGCGCGCGCGAAAAAAAACTTTCTGGAGCATTTTTTATCTATTTTTTTACTCTTTCGTATTACGGAGGTCGTTATCTTGACCTCGAATTAAAAATGATTATTATTTAGATTTTCCGATTTTATTTTCTCCATTCACTTTAATCTAAATTGGGCTTGCTGTGTATGAACATGATTTGAACCTCGCGCCAAAAGAATATAAAGTTCCCGGATGGGTCCGCGCGCCTATTCTGTGCAATGTCATTATGAAAGAAAAACTGAAAATGAAATTTAAAAACCTTTCAAGATGGTCGTTTCAATCGCAATTTATATCGTTAATATGACAACCGCATAACCGTTAAAGCCGATATTAATCTTTATTTTCCATGCTTGTCAAGTTTGTAAAAAAACATTTTCTTTTGATTTAGTTTATTTTTTTATCAAATTATGTAAAGTTGTCGTCATAAAACTCTATAAAACTCGCATTTAAACTGAGTGATTTATTGCATTTTTATTTTAAGAAAATAAAGCGGCTATTGATAATATCCTATTCAGTTATCGCACGATTACTTGATTCTTGCGTTCCCTTTTATCGCCCTCAAACGATTTCGTTTAAATTAATTTGAGCCGAAAAAATACAGCTGTAAAAGGAAAGGCGGTTTGAAAATTTTAGCAAGAAATCTGGATTTACTTGGAATGAAATCCTAGTTTCATACATGCTCGTAACAAATTTCGAAAAGCAAATTCAGAAATATTCTTTTTAGCAAAACTTAGCTGACTGATTTGTAAATATTCTGCAAGCAAGACACTTCTCTAGAGACTAGTGAATATTAACACTCTTTCCAATATTTATCCGGCATAAAATCTTGGTGTGATGAATGATATAATTTAACTGCGTAAGTTAGGACAGTGACGAAGTATACTCGCCTAAACTGTTGTAGAATCAGTGTTGATAAAAGACAATAATACTAATGCCGGAGAAAAGCTTTCGAGTCACGAATGATTAACGAGAATCTAGAGGTTTTTTTCGGGTGTCTAGCGTTTGGTTAATTCGGACTTCGTAAAAGCTTTTAAGTGAAGTCGACTATTACAATGACTAAATGCAGCTTGATCAGTTATTGAAAGGTAAGATTTTTAAAATTCATAAACAAGTAATTATAAAGTAATGTACTGTCCATTAATCAGGATGCATGGTGGGTAGAAGAAATGTGTTTATTTTGTTACCCGACCTCGTATTAAAGCCAGAACGGAATTCTTTTCATTTTCTCTTTTCTCCTCTCCCCCTTTATTTCGCTTTTGCTTTTAGCACTTTCAATTAAAAATCGTTTCCATCTGTTTTAAAAATATTGTTCATACTGTGAATTATGTCAAACTCATCACGACTAAGCAATAAACTGAGCAGCTTGGTATCAATTACTGTCTTATTCTGGTTTTTGCTTTTAACATCTTTTTTAAGCTCTCAATTTATTACAATCAGTGAAATCCGCTATTTAGTATACTAACACTATGATGAATAAGAAAGCTTTTACTTGAAGTCCTAGCCTCTAGGTCCAATAAGGTGCATTTTATCATGGCTTCTCGGTATTCATTTTGTCGCGTTGCATTTTCCAGCACATAGTGATCGTCCAAGTATCAAAAATTAGACAAAATGGTTCGAGCAAATTATTTTTTTCCCTTGCTCTTTTCATTTGATTCCTCATCTTATCAATAAATAAGACCAATCTCTCATCTTTTGCGATAAAATAGATCAACTCCATCAAAAAAACTATCAATAAATAAAACCAATCTGCTATCTAAAATATATCAACTCCAGAAGACCAATCTTCCATAGTTGGATAAAATATATCAAGCAAGTTCATCAATAAATAAAACCAATCTCTCATCTTGTGAGATAATGATAGATCGACTCCATCAAGTATGAAAAACTGCCGCACATAATGGTTCAAGCAAATTGATTTTTCTCCTGCTCTTCTTATCAAAATTCCCCATCTTTTGGTGATAGAATAGATCATTTTCATTAATAAATAAAACCAATCTCTCAACCTTTGGGAAAAAATATATGAACTGCATATGATAAATAACACCAATCTCTTATCTAAAATATATCAACTGCATCCGATAAATAACACCAACCTCCCATCTAAGATATATCAACTGCATCCGATAAATAACACCAATCTCCCATCTAAAATATATCAACTGCATCCGATAAATAACACCAATCTCCCATCTAAAATATATCTCCCATCTTTTGGGATAAAATGTATCAACTCCATCAAAAAAACTATCAACTTTATCAATAAACCTTAGGGCAACGATGTGTTTATCAAAACATTGGGCAAGTAAATGTTTTACCTGATCCTGTTCAAATTCTCCTTATCTTTTGGAATAGAAATTGTCAAAATCAGTTGAAACTTTTTTTTTTTTTTTTAAAAGTAGACAACTCGAAGAGCGGTAATGTAAAGAAATATGTAAAGTAAATTGCCTGCTTCCAGGGATTAAAGGAAACGGCGCGTTTGTCAATTGTGAAGGATGCTTTTGTCACTGCATGATCAATAGCGGCTCATAGCTATAAATGCTTATAATATATATTTTGTTTCGGGAATAAAAAATAAACCTTGATTAGACAACGGGCCAGGAAAATTGAAATGAAACTTAAAACTTTTGATGAATATTTTTATATTACAGTCGTTGTTGTCGACTGCTTTGAAAAGAAAAGGAGAGAGTGAAAGAAGAGTACGCTTACTATGAAAGAGAGGAAAATTATTCCTTTGGGATCGTAGCCGGGGGGAAACTATGAAATGATCAAGCGAATAAAGAACGGAATAGGAAGAGAACGAGAAAGTACGAGAATGGGTATACGAGAACGAGAACGGGAACGAGAGCTTGAGAGAATGAGAGTGAGAATGAGAATGAGAATGAGAATGAGAACAACAACGACAACGAGAATAGGAACGAGCACTTTAAATTTCTGTTCTTTATAGCTGAGTTTGAACGAGAAGGAGAATGAGGCCGGATAAATCGAAGGAAATTTGTTTTTCTTATTTCACGAGAAGAAGCAATAAAAACAAATTCAAAGCTCTGCTAATGATATATTTTTGAACGTTACTATATTCTACTCACCTATAGGAAACTCAACGTATACTCAATCCTCAGTAACAACATCCAATCTAATGTCGCTTCTGATGAATGTCTCTTTCAGCTCAGCCGGTTCCAGTCGTCGGTGCATCAGTGAGCTTCCATGTTATCAGAACCCCAATCTTCTATCAAAAGGTCTTAAATGTTCCTTCTCAAATGAGCTCAAGTGGTTTGGTGCTTAGGTTACCGCTCAATGTTTGTGTTTTTGGATCATTTAATAACCCTGAAGCGATAACGTGACCAATCTATCATAAAACACTCAAAACCGCTTCAAATCTAACATCAGCTAGTGGTAGATGAAGAGGTATGGGGAAACAATTCAATTTACTAAAAATAAGATCGTTTTCGGCAAAAGGTATCTATGTTGATATCCATTAGGTTGTTAGGTCTTCTATGACATTTCTGCGGTTTTCTTGCAAGTCTAAACATAACGTTATAGGCGACTTCCATTCACAATTAACGATCACTGGAGGGCGTTTCCATCCACTTCCTAAATTGTTTTTCTTCCGTCTTTTCAAAAGCTCCAGTAGTATAAAAAATATTTTATTAGAGAGTAATGACAAATTGGGAGACATRACGGCTGGAAGCACATCGAATAACGTTAAAAGGACTTTGTCAAAACAAATATAAGTCATTCCTCACTCATTTTAACAAGTTAGCCTGTGAGAACTTTCTTTAATAAAAATAAAATAAAATGCTTAATTGCAAGAAAGACAGTTTCTTATTCGTTTAAATAGAATAACACCAGCATGAGATTCGGTTATGACAAAATAAAGAAAAGTGTTCTAGTTTAATATAAAAAGAGATGTATCGGCTACAACAGGCACTAAAAAAAGTTGGTTTTGCCTGTTTTTTGCTTTTAATAATTCGTTATAATAATTAAAGTCATACCTGTGATTATTCGTGCTACAAGTCACGCTGATCCAAAAAGACATGTATGATGGTTGCAATAGGCCAAACATGATGGCTATAAGCCTAGCTTAATTTTTGCTTCTAAATCAATTCTAATTATATTCGGCAAACAAGGGTTAAGTTTAATCATTTGATGTTTTGACTCTGTCTTAACGGTGAGAACAACACTTAACTACTTTTTTGCATGATTGAAAATTGCTGGAAGCAAATGATTATTTATTTAAAGTACTTAATCATTGTTTTTACGCCCTCCCATACGGCCATAAGTAGTACATTGACATATTTATAAATAATAGAACAAAATTAAATAAAGGGTGGGAAAATCGGTTAAAAAAAAGAAAAAGAAAAAAAGGAAAAAAAAAAACTGGCCTCCGGCCTTTACAATTATTTCGTTTTTCAATTCTGTTCCCTGTGTTTTTTAATTTCGAATTAACACCAATCTAATAATATTTGGAGGTTTTGAAAATGACTTCTTTTCAATCGCTAGTGCAATCTAGAGACACAATGATAAAGAAACCTCAGGCAGGTATAACCTAATTTTCATCCAGTTTGAAATATATCGCTGCTTGATCGCAGACTGAACGTGATCCTAGATAACCCTAAACAGATTAAACAAATTATATGAGGGCATATCATGATTTCGATCGAAATAAAATTCGATATACGAATTTAATTCCTATTTTACTTGCACTTCCGACCAAAGAATGAGTCACTTGAAAATCATCAAAAACGCCCACAAATGAATTCAAAAAAGATAAATGGCAAGAAAATACGAAAGTCATTATCTAATATTTTCCCATGCTAGCTGATTTTTTTATATCTTTGCTTCATTAAATCTTTTATGTCTTAATTTATTGTGTTTTTTTTTTTTAATTTCAAATAGAATTATTGATCTTAATTGGTAGGTAAACACGAAATTCTCTTAATGACATTTATGTATAATTTTAAAGAAAAACTGTGAACGTCGAAGATCCATAATGTACAAATGTAATAGTTTGATACATTCATTTAGTTACCTTGAGCAACTTTCATTTTCATATCGAAAGAAACTTAAACTTTACTTTATTATTGTTAATAGCCGGCAATGTTTGGAGCCCTTAAAAATAAGAGGAATTGATAAATAGAGGATATTACATGGGCGCGCGGAGATACGAAATTTATCTTCGAGTGTTGAAAAGATTTTCAACTCGAGAAGATAAATTTCGTATCTCCAAGCGCCCATGTAATATTCTGTTTATTATATTATTATCAATGAAAGTATGTTTTGGCTTTTTCAGGCAATTCTTTCCGCGTATTTTTGAATAGCCATCGCAATGGTGTTATTTTCACACGTGAAAATAACATGTTATTTTCACGTGTGAAGATATCAATTTTTCGAAATAGAGAAAAATAGATATTTCATTGACAATTATATAATAAATAAAGTATTGAGTTGCCAACGACGTGTGAAAAGTAATCCATATTAACTTTGATATCGAGTTTAAAATTCTGTCAAATGTGTTTTTCGTCATTATATATATTTTTCGTTTTCAAGACATTTTACATAGATATCAAAACGCCACTTTATTTTTCACCGTTGGCTATGGACGTAAACACCTAATTATAATTGTTGTGGAAAGTGTTGCGAAATTTTCATGATGGTGATTGATTTGCGCTGCGGTTGCCTCAGGGATTGAAAAATATATTTCAGGTTTCTGATTGGCAAAGTGTCTTCGAGGTCGGCATAATTGAAGGTGGAAAAACTCTTCAAATTTGATCAATACCTAAACCAATACAACCTCTGGGCTGGTCAAAGTCACGGCTCGAATACCTCACAGATCGAATTAGAATTTAGCGTGTTAGGTTTTGCAGGGGGAGGAAAGGCGAAGACCCCGGACAAAATCAAGGGAAAGATCTAGAAAAACCTTTACTCATGTGATGAGCATATAGGCAATTTGTACTGCGCATGCGCGCGTTAATAGAAAACAAAAGAATTTCAGACGCCATTTTGTTTGGAATGCACAGTCTGTGGGTTTTCTGATCAACGTTCTCAGAATTTAGAGGCATTCGATGGAAGAGCTTCAAAGAGGATCAAAACTAGAGAYGAAGGACTAGCACATGAGCATATCAACAAGTACATAGTCCTTTTATTTGGAGATAAATCACTCGTCAAAATGTGCCCGAAAGGGAAAAACCTCAAGACATGGTTCACTTTGTTCCTGTTGTATTTCAAATCTAACCAGTAAATTGARGAAATCTTTCTTTAAGGTGAGAAATTATTCTTTGATGTTTTAATTTTGTTGAATTATAACTTTTAGTTGAAAGCTGATCGTCTAAAATAGGAGACTGTTTGATGGCCAAATTCGCGTGTAAGCTAATTTTTACTCAAATTCAAAGTCAATTTACTCGAAAGTTTTACTATTCCCCAAGATGGAAATTACCTCTATTAGAATGGCCTTTCTTTTATCTTTACAGGTGTGCAATTTTTTTGTACTGAAAAATTGTGTGGCATATGGTGTTAAAGGAAATGTTAAGACCATCCCAGCTACCTCAGCATATCCTCAAATCTTGGGTAATTTTCCTTGTTTAGGTTTACCAAGATCTTCAAGTTGTTGGTTGTTGAAATATCTATATAAGGTAGCTTGAACACCTCAATCTTGTTTATTGTAGTTGTTTTTTAAATTGCTTATCTTTGTCACCAAAACTATTGGCATAGTTCGTAAGACTTTTACTGCTAAAATATCATTAGAGTGAATGCTACCCCGAGTAAGAAAAAGTAAAATTTCTATTTATTTTTGCTTTTCCCCAAATTTCTATTTGTTATCATTTAAGAGCTAATAAGCTATAGAATTAACTGGGCATAGTCATTTGCCTTGAAAAATTGTGCAGGCTTTACACAGTAATTTCAAACAGCTGACCTGTCATGCCTAAATCGGCCATCTTGGCTCACTGTTGTACGCTAATGCAGTAAACTCGTGTTCTTTTCACACTCTAGAAATGACAAGGCAGTTCTAATTTGTATTAAAATCTAAAAGTCAAAACAGAATTTATGGCCTTAAACCATTTTTTGAARATTTTTCACTTTCACTATGTAAATAACTAATATTACACTATGTGCTATGAATGCATGTATAAGGAAGCATATATAAGGTACTAGATAGAGGAAGTTTAAAGGGTTACAAACCATGGAAGAAATAAAAACTATCATAGCTCTTAGAGCTGCCCAAGGTAGMTAATAATCTAGCTACTTACAGTCTGTAATAAATGGTTTCCAAAATTGTTGAAACAATTTTCAGTTGATGTGACGTTCCAGAGAAATTTGTTATAAGTTTATAATTATTAGGATTCCAACCTCTCAATGGGGCCTCAGCCAATCCTTAGGAAGAAATTTCTTTACATAATAATTAGGAAAAGGGAATGATAATTAAATGTAATAAAAATATAGTTTCTTTGTTCCTGTCTATAGGTAGAGGTGTATGATGAAAAGGTAGTCTGCTGGTCCTGAGAAGAAGGAAGGTGGATAGGAATGAATTATTTTTCAAACTATACAAGGAGTGAATGTTGTTTTGAATTGTTCCTTTCTATATTTTCATTGTCAAGACTAAATTAAAATTAAAATTTAAGTAAACCGACAAGCTGCACTGTTGTATTGATGTACTGGTCCAATCCTATGACAATCACTATAGTAAATGAGGCTGCAATATACTATCATTTTTAGTCTAATATATAGATGTCCACAACTGACCAGGTCTGACCAAATTTRTTTTTTAATCTTGGGATGACAGCATCATTAGGATTAATTTAGATGGGTATCTCATGACATTTTTCATGGATGGTGATACAATTAATTTGATTATATACTATTCTGTTAATTATCTGCACAGGTTGTTCATGATCATGGTTATGTTTCTTTAATTGGGAAGGTTTGGCTTTAAAAAATTCTTTCTTTAGAAAGGGGGTTACTTATTAGAAAGGGGGGGTTTATTCGAGAGGGGATGCTTAATAGAGGATTTACAGCAAGTGCACATATACTTTATTGGGCCTTTTCTTTCTCTTATATATTAAGTCAGTCTAACCATGAAACATGAGTAAAAAAGGAAATTTTACCAGTTAGAGAATTTTCTATGATTGTAACCACTTCAAACATGCTTGCAAGAAGAAAACAAGTACAGTACTTGTACAGTGAAATAATAATTATTCACGACTCTACCCCAACGCGGTGATCGTAGGTTAACTTAATTTAGAAATGAACCATCAACCTTGTCATTAAGAAAGAATTAACCGAGTTACCTCCCTTACCTCTATCTATTTTAGCGCCTTTCAACACTAATCTCTCGTTCTCAACGTTGAAATTTCTACATGATTTYATTAAAATAAAGAGTAAAATAACGACTTAGCGACAACCTATTTCAAAAGGCAATAAAATATCCATTCGATAGCGTTTTAAATGGTCTCCAAAAGAAACAGAGAACTAGTAAACAAGCACTGTTAGACAGAAAATATTCCGCCATCTTGGGCAATTTCTGCAGGCTCAATTCAGCGGTTTTTCTATTAAAACTTATATTTGCACGCATGCGCAGACAAAATGCCTACGTGCTCATGTGATGTTGTAAATTTACGACTGCGCATGTCCGGTAGTTTTTATGCAAATTAGTGCCTTTCCTTGGTGCTGACAATGAAAAACGCGGGCTCAAGGTATTGTTTTGCTAAAACTTTTTCAATAAGCCTGAAGCGAGATGACGTTTTACCCCCGTCTCTAGACCATAATCCTTTTCACATTGCTTTTGTTCTTTAATTATGATTATTGTTCCTGTATTCTCTAAGGAATCAAAGATTTTAATATGAAAGAATTTTAAAAACTATTATGGTATAGAGTCGGGGGTAAAACGTCATCTCGCTTCAGGCTTATTCTGCTTATTTTCAAGATTCAACCCAAAGATAAGCAAAAAATGATTCTCTGGTGCTCAGGTTGCGATAAAAGTAAGTAATGATTCTCTGGTGCTCAGGGAGAACTGAAGTTTGTCATGCCGGGAGGACAACTTTCCATCTTTGCATGTTCGAAGCGATAATTCGATGAATCAACGAAAGAGGAATTGGTTTACATACATTGTCCTTAAACGACCAACCGTTTTTTCAAGGCGATTTTGACATGGACTTTTTTCGCCGTATTGAAACAAAACTTTTATATATTGAGTCCCGAGTGGACACTTTTTAAAATAACAAAGCCCTTTAAAAATTTTTTTTTCAGTAACTAGGAGAAATTTCAAGAGATTTTCGGTCATTTTTGGGGCTCTTAAAAGTTGTGGGCGTGGCTCTTCAAAACCGCTGTCTATTTTTTTAACTCATCGTTTGATATACTTTTTTTCCATACTCATTTCTTTTTGATACAAGCAGTCAAACACTTATGAAATGACAAGAAAAAAGATAAATGAAAGAAAGAAAGACTGCGTGTTTCTGATAATGTTCCAAACCCATTGCAAAACCCCAAAAGACTCATTTTGAACTCCGCAATGCTAACTATATAACACTGAGATTGATATTTTGTAAATCAATCTATCTCTTCCAGCTTTTATATTTTTCCCTTTTTTTCTTTGAAAATTGAGCTAAAAAATAAAAGTGGGTTGAAAAATAGTTTTAAATCGCCTTACGTTTGCTAGTAGCATTTTGACCACTGACTCTATGCAGCTCCCAGAGGAGGAGAAGTGAAACACCATCAAAGACGTCATGATTCACAATAAAAGTGTGAATGGTATGACTCTGGCACAAAGGTGAACAAACAGCAACTGCTTGAATTTGACGGTTAAACCCTGAATAAGTGATAATTATTATCGCAACTTTTGAAACCTCATGCATAGTAATGAAGTAGTATATATAGTAGGTCTTGTAAGTGGTATAGTGAGTCTTTAAGGAGATTTAAGATGGAATTGAAGATTTTAGAGTCGGGATTAGAAGATTAAGAAATCTCTAATTCGGTCTAAATTAAATCTACCTCAAGATATTGTTTTTTCAATTACAGTTCTTCAACACTTCGACGATAATGATATTAAATAATTCGAATAACTTTAGTAATTCGTATTGAAGGTATGAAAGATGAGCTCAAATTCAAAAGGCTATGACTCGCTCAAAATGGACTAAAAAAACTTCAAACCTTGCCCAATGGTGAAACAAAACACAAAGAACAAGTAGGAGTAATTGAATTATATTTGGTCAGCGTTTTACCCACAAACAGTTTATCGTGCAACGAAGATAGCCCATTGTAAAGCTACAGTGCACTTGTTTTATTTATTGCAGGCGGCAAGACTATTCGTAGTATTCGCTTGGTAAATATGCCTCATGAACAAAAAAAATTTAGCTTTAATACATTTAGTTGTTTTATCCATGCTCAAAACTTCAGCATCAGAGTTGAATGAAAGTTTGAAGGATTAGAATCATCGTTTTGCTTACCTCGAGGTTGAATCTTGAAAATAAGTAAAACTGGAAAAGTTTTAATGCAAGAAACATGAACGACGATGCAAGACAAACTTGCTCCATGTCAGGATTCACGTGTGAACAAAAAACTTGTACATTAAGCCCAACTGTACACAGGGGTCCCATAAAATAGATAGTTAGAGTTTATTTCGCTCATGTAGTTGAAAGTTTACAACTTTTGCTAATAGTACAGTAAATGAGGGTTTTAAGTATATGTATAACATATATATATATAATATTGTACGTACGCAATTAAAAGCATTGAGAGCCTAGTGAGGGTTAACTGGGAAGTTAATTGGTTAGCCCCTAGCCTTCAGTTTCTAATTATTGTTCAGGTTATGGAAATATACAAAAAGTTACAAGTCTAAAGGAGAAAGTGAATTAATAAAGAAAAAATGAAAAGTATCAAGCAGTGTTACTTAGTATTTTAGATTGGAAGTAGATGTTAAAAATTGAGAATGGAAAGTGGGGGAAAAGGGGAATTTAAAAGGAAGAAAACACAAAAACTTTTTGCGCATTTGTGAATTACAGACGCTTCTAGAGTTTTATCAGAGGGTTCGTAAATTTTTGAAATAGCAACATCAAGCGCACGCCTAATTAACATAAAATCTACTATGCGTAGTTGTGTTTTTACTAAAAAATGGAAAATTATCCACACCCACCAAGCAACCGCGCGCCAACGCACAGCCACAATAAAAGAAAAATATGTTAGTTTATCAAATGGCCACCCTTTGAAAAAAGTACGTGGAACGGGTTCAAGTGAATATTAGTATTTTTAATATTATCTCGAATCATATGTCCATAATTATTAGAATTTACTTAGTATTATTATTAAAGCTATTCTTTATTACAATAAGAACTATTAATCTTTATTAGTATCGTAATTAGTAATATTAGTATTATCAAGGATTATTAGTACTATTAATAACATATAATTTCAAATATAAACCCGGAAATATGATTATCTTATACTAGGGAATATACCTATTATATGTAGGAGTCAAAACTGTTGCCCGACGACGTACAAAGCGGGCGAACCCTGGATTCATCATAACAACATCACCCACTCCCTAAAATCATCCAATAAAAAAAGGCGCGGTTGAGCCACCAGATTAAATTGTTTATCTCTGTCCACTTTGAGACCGCGACTTCCAATTGTCACAAATCAACGTACTTCAAGTTAAAAACTCATAACGAACATACGGTGCAAATATACAACACTACCTAGCTAGATATAGTAAAGTGCTTGTCTTAATTCATTAATAACCATTTTGCATGATTTTACAGCGGTATATTTCACTGATGATGCGCATGCGCATGAGGTACAAGAACAACTGGAATATTTGAATGAGATAGCACGTGATCACTAACTCCACCAATCAGGGTTCGGCGAATTGAGCTCAAGCCACGTTTACCGATGACAATGTAAGCTGCATTTTGCTTTTCTGCAAAAGCGCAGATATGTTCTCCTGATCTGTGGTGGTTCTCTATTTTTATTTTTGCTGATTGCTGAAGAAAAATATGAAAGTTATATTAGTAATGTTGCGTAAAAAGCTTCAATTTTATTCGCGTTTTTATTCGATGATTAATACTTCACTTCCTCCGCAAAATAAGTCGGCAATTCCGCTATAGTTCCGTAGTTCCGTGATAGTTCCGTGACAGTTCATAGTTCCGTGATAGTTCCGTGACAGTTGCGTGGTAACTCCGTGTCAATTCCGTGACAGTTCCGTGACAGTTCCGCGACAGTTCCGCGACAGTTCCGCGACAGTTCCGTGATAGTTCCGTGACAGTACCGTGACAGTTCCGTCATGAAAAACAGTCAATTGTCAAAAGATAGAAATCAAACTTACCGAAAATTCTTTGCACTTGTTCGTATAAAACTTTATAAACTCCTTCTGTTCGTCATCGTGCTTTCTTACTTTCTTTTGCCAGTCGAGAGTATGAGTTGAATCTTTGAATTAAAGCATAAACAGATTCGGAGTTGAGCGTAGTGCTGGGTCTTATTCCCAATTATAGTCTGAAAAAGCTAAAAGCTAAAAGACTTCCGAAGGCTCCCCCTGTTTGACGCTAAATAACAACCGACCGGACAATGTCATGGCCGTCATCTTTGCCGTCACATCCATTGATATTAGCCAATGTGAAATCTTAAATCGAATTCTATTTCTTCGTCGACTATGACATACAAAAGCCAAACCCCATACCCCCAACACTAGCCTCACCCCTCCCCCTACCCCAAAGCTGAAATCACCCCTCCCTTACCCCAACACTAGCCACACCCCATACCCCCAACACAAGCCTCACCCCTCCCCCTTAACCTAAGACTCGACTCAGATAAAACATTTACATACATGGATCTGCAGGTTGTTCAAGTGGGGCTTGACAGTAGAACAGGATCACGTGATCATCACTTTTGTGAATATTTTCAATGTACCCTGCATGATATAAAAAATACATTCATCAGTGATTGCTTAATTGGCATGCACAATTCAGTGTTTATCAGTTAGCTTCATTTTCCGAAGAGAAGACGAAAGAAAACTGATTGAAGGTCTAGGGAAACGTACCCACTGTTGCCTTGAGACAATATAGATCTAGACCCCTTGCATCAGTTTGGAATGCTGCTCAATCTGGGGACAAAACAATAGGTACCCAATTCTCAGGAGATTGGGATTCTTTAGTTTTGTCCCTCAGATCGAGCTGCTTTGACGTCAAATGCAAGGGGTCTATTAATCAATCAGTTGTTTTACCTTCCTTTTCAAAGAAATAACCCAATTTTCATATAATAAAAAATTGAAGTAAGAAATTATTTCATTATTCGAGAAGTGACGTGCTCTTGTCTTATCGAAAGTGAGTTGTATATGCCCATTGTCATTTAACCATTAATATCTAGGCCAAATGTCAGTTAAACTGTTAATAATTTTACACGCGCTGACCATAATATTACCTAAAATTATGAAATAACCTGCAGTTAACTGTTAACTACTAATTTAAGGTTATTTGTCGATAGCTATGCTAATTTTTAGGCCAATTACACTGTAATAGCCATCGTATAGATACCGAAAAGACAAACATGCGACGCGTGAGTTTCTTTATTTTTTTCTATAGCTTCTGGTGTTTAAGAGATTTATAAATGATTAATGACATAAAATATACTTTCCAAAGCTAAAATATGCATATAGATTTTTTCTCTTTGATCTAAAAGAAAATACCGTTACGACTCTATTTTTTTTCATATTTCGTATAGCTAATGATATATTTGTATATATATATATATATATATATATATATATATATTTAAGTCAAAAACGTTTTCTCGTCAATATTATTAGACAGGATTGAATTGCGGTTAGACTGTGACCCCCTGGTGTATCTTGCTTTAACAAAATATCTTCCAGTATATCTTTCTTTACTAGCTTTTGCCGTGAATGTAAGGGCAATTATTACATTGTATAGTCACGAAACCTCAATCTGTTTGTGCGCGCGTAAAGTCGTTTTGAAGTGCTTGGATGCGAGGCTACAAGGAAGGAATTTATCGTTCTGACAGTCAACATGGCCGCTGTCGCGTGAAAAATATATCCATGCAGAATTTAGCATTCAGAGAGACAATAACAGCTGTCACTACCTCTGATATTACGTATACCATAATTGAGAATACTAATAGATCCCTGAAAAATATCTCTAGCTTCTCTTCCCTTTTTCTGTTTTCATTGGTTCATATTCCATCAGTTTACTGGTTCTTAAAACTAGAACTAACGCTATAAAATATCAGTTTAACTATTTCGAAAAGCGCTTAAAATATTTTCCAGTAAAAAGCCAAATATCAGACATCATGCAGTCGTTATTTCTGCCGACACTAAACACCTAAATTGTTTTCCATTTTCAAAATAGCATTATTTTTACTGATTTCATTCCTCTATACATAACATCAGGCTATTAAATTTAAGTACACTTACACTCAAAAGCACGTTGGCTGTGTTCGCTGATAGTAACTGCAATAACAACAGTCCTAGTAGAAGCAGTTTGTTCAGCCATTTTTCGCTTTGAAGCTCGCTTCTTTCTAGTCTCTCTAAACGGTGCTTCTCTCTGCAGAATTCCTCAGCGTCTTTGCTGTTATCAAATCCCCACTATGTAATGACTGCCTCTGAATACTACATCAGTGTCCTCAAAAACAACAAAGACCGCTTATTAGTCATGAATGAAATCAAATGAAATTGGGGGAAATTGTACTATAAATATTAATATAAAACTGGCAGCCAATTATATAAAGGTTGGCGGTTTAGAGAAGGCGGGAGGCATTCAATCGTATTTTTCATAGACCGATATTTTTCTATAAATATCTTCCGATATTTAATAATGTTATAAAAAGAAAAAAGAAAAAGAAAAAAGAAAAGATATGACATTTGTTAAGTTAGTTTAGTGATTTCAGGAGATTTAAGGGCGTTGTAGACTGTGTACTGAGTTGGCGTGGAGATTTCTTTCTTCCAGCGCGGGTTGAAACAAGTTTTGAGAAAATAACGCTGTCATGAATAATATATGAGCGTCATGTACGATTACCCACTGCCACATGCAGAACTTTCCTTTCCATCGCCAATAAAAAAAAATAATGTAGGGAAAGCAAAGGAATGATAAGAAATGCCGACATGTTTATCTTTCAGCTGCCGCGGCTTACTTCGTACTCACCAATTAGAATAACTTTTATCAAAGTTTCTATTTTTGTTTACTCTAGCAGGTGTTTTTCGTTAGCTGTAATTCAGTATCTTACTACACACTTGTAATAAGTGTTCTCTTACTAATAAATCATATGGGTTTTTTCGTAAAATATGCTCATCTCTTTTCAAAGTCTTAAAGTGTCTCTTGATCCTTGGTAAACATGCCAGATTTGAAATCAAATAATGAATATACATTAGAAGACTGTTATTCAAAAATAAGTTATCTTTTGTTTCGCCTTGGTTCTATAACTAATACAAGGAAAACGCATATTACAGTCTACTAATTTTTTATTTTAATTTTTTTATTTTCCCACCTCCAAATTAAACCTTGACATTTGCCCCACATGTACAATTTTTAATGTCCTCATTTTAAGTATTTTCCCCTTAGGCCTTAAATTCAGAGGGCGTATTCAATGAATGATATAATTGGATCTCAAAATGGGTTTGATCGATCCAATCTTAATTATATTTCTCCACACGCATGTGGAATCTTGTAAATTCTCGTATTTGATTTATCAAAACAAAATCCGACGAATTCAAGTTATAGAACTCTCCTAAGATGATGAATAAATCAAGACTTGTGTAGGCTACGCGTAAGCTTTGAAGGCAGGGTGCATTATGCACCCAACCCAGGCATACAAGGGCTATTGACATAAGAACCTTGCCCATAACTGGGGCTGCTAAGCTTTTATTGACACTTTTTTTTCGTTTTCAAAGTAAAACCCTCAAAACAACATTTTCATATGGCCCTTATGAGGGGCTCATTGACAATTTTTTTTCAAAGATCTCAATAGCTCCTGGGTATGCCCGTGCTCCCCCGTTGGGGCAAGACATTAATAGGTGCATCATATTAGCGTATCGGATCGATCAAGTGTTTCTGATAAACAAAAACATCATAATCAAGGAAAAGACACGTGGTCTGAAATAGGAATTGATCATTGTTTAAATCCAAGGTATGTAAATATGCAAATCCCCCTTCTCTCCCCTCCCACTCCCATATTTTTGATCTTGGTGAGTTTCCTTGACTTTGTCGCTAAATTCTCACTTTAACGGCTTAGAGGGCGGCTTTAAAAAATCAAAGGTAACCCATGGTAAGCTCGCGAAGCTTTTTGAGTACCAATGAACTGAGGCCCCGTCCACACTATGCCGGATAAATTTGAATCCGAATTTTTATTTATTCGGTTAGGCCTACCGTCCACACTAGTCCGGGCAAATTCGGAACAATTCTTCACCGAAAACGAATTTTCGAAATGGAACCGAGCAAATAAAAATTCGGATTCAAATTTATCCGGCATAGTGTGGACGGGGCCTGAGATGATAATAAATGACACTTGGTGACTCATTTCATTGAGGGTATTGTGACCCGAGTGTATACGTAAGGATGGATAGTTCGACAAAGTCAAAGATTATTTGGACCGAGTCTTCGATCCAATAAATGATTGATTCTTCGAACTTAATTATAAATACGACAATCTCAAATCTCAAGGTCCAATAAAAAGAGCATAAAGTAAACTAAGAATACTCAAAGTATGCTGAACTCACCTACATCAAACTGATTATGAGGTGATCGAATATCCAAAATGGCTTCCTCTGCAAACAACGTGGTTGGAGTTTTCTTCCTGTGACCTCACTTAGCGATTAATACAATGGATTCCATAGCCCCCTCGATAGCTCTTCATGAGCTAAAGCTAATGACACACCGATGCTTGGTATACCTGTGTCTTAACAGACAGCGATAAGCCTGGATCCAATATTATTGTCTTAACAAGAAACAAATGGCGGCGAAACAGAAAAAGATTCTCGTCTTTTTTCCTTCTTTTTATCTTCTGATCTTCTTAATATTTAACCATAATGTCGTTCTTGGGGAGAAAAAGCTGCGAATGGTGAACATGGTAAGTAAGAGCAAAAGATTCTTTAAATATAGTACAAGAAAAACAAGACAAAAGTGGAAGTAAATGTTGTTCTTTTGAATCCACATTTTCTTAAAGTTAGTTAACTTTTGGAACCTTTTTTAATTTTTCTTTAAATCATTCCTCTCTTAATTTATTAATATTCGTTATTTAGGAATAAATTTCCCTTAATTCAGCGTTGTATAAGTTCAATTTAACGGTGTAAAATTTGCATTCTGTATAGCTATAGATTCATCTTTGATCTATCTGTATATGCAAATGACGAGCTCTTTGACACCATGGTGATTTATAGTGACCTTACAAATGAGCTCTCAATATTTCAAGTAAAAATGATTAATTTTACTGTTTCTTTCTTTCTTTTTTTTTTGGTTGGAATATTGCAAAGGCCATTTCATTCTCACCAATTCTTTCAAAGTCTGCATGATTAAATCCTTGAAGAAGAAGCTTTTAATCATTAAAAAGATAAAACTTGGAATACACCTGAGTTAGCAGAGAGACCTTATATTTTAAAGCTGGACAAAGTCCCTCGGTCTATCATTAAGCTGATAATTATACAGCTTCTCATTAATCCCATATAGGTAACTGCCCAATTATTTCTTAATTGGACAGGTCTTGTTGATATGGAATTAATTAGGCAGCTATATAATTAATAGGTAATGGGATTTCATACTTCCCAATCAAGAAATAATAAGACTCGAAAAATTCCTCTGACTGCCAAATTGGACTCGGCCTACGACCTCATCCAATTTTGTCAGTCCTCAGAATTTTCCTCGTCCAATTATGGAGTCCTGTTACATATACTAATGAATAGCAATTACTAGTTGGGACTGCATTACTATCTTGGATACGACCAGTGGATCAGAAAGAAACTCATTATAAAAAACTTGTGATTGTTAACAATTTTATGGCTGGTTTTACAAGTGAATAATATTGTTCTGTTACTAGCATAAGTTAAATTTTTTWAAATCTTTGTTAATTTCTTTTCACATTTTTAGGTTTATCGTCATGGTGACAGATCTCCAACAACTACATTTCCTCTTGATAAAAATTTAAAATATTGGCCTCAAGGACTTGGACAGCTGACTCGGGTATTTCTAGAAAAAAACACTGTTTCGTAGTTAGCTAAAAAATTAATTATTTAACAAATAAAACAGCTTTTTCAGTGCTCTTTTCAGTAAAGAGCGCAGGAATGAAGTAAGCATGAAAGAAGTGCAAGGAGAAGCAGGAGCCATAGTTTTATTATATAGTCACTGATTTTATTTCAGTATTGAATTTATTTATGCAAAAAGAAAAAAACAGTCGCAGGTTCAAGCAGCACTTCAAATTTGCACATGCGGATGACATCAGCACTGTGCTTCGTTCACTTATGAAGCACAGTTTTCGACCAATCAACATGCACGTACTATCCTTACTATATAATAAATAGATATATTAGAGGGCTCGCACGAAACCTATGAAACAAATACTAATTTTTAGTACTAAATAGTGATAATCAAACAATAGGAATTCTGTATGATTACAACTAAACAGTACTATTTAATGTTCACGGTTTTAGTGTGCACTCTATTCCCATCAAAAAAAAAAAAAGTAAATAAATAAATTAATAAATAAAAGGCTGGTTAAATTTATTTACTATATTCAAATCAAATCTCTAGTTAAATAACGAATTATTTGTTCACATAATGTCATATATATTTATAATACATTGTTTCTATATTCAAAAAGTATTACCTGCATTGAACTAACAAGTGAACTAACTTAATTTTATTTTTGTTTTCATTTTTTGTTTTCTCATTCATTTGTGAATAATTTATTTATAACTACTAATTATTTCTAATTACTGTTTTTATATTAGCTATCATTTTTTTGTGCAGTGTTTATCAATGTGTTCTAATTTTATTTTTCTATTTGAAACAGTTGGGAATGCTTCAAGAGTATAAGTTGGGGAAATTTATCAAGAAACGTTACATAGACGATAATGAACTGTTAAACAAAACTATGTATTTGAAAGACGAGGTAATGTTTCTTTGTTTACCAATAATGATTACGAAGTTATATATTGAAATATAGATGATACTTAAACAAAGAATACCATTTTCAAGAGAATGGCAAATGCTATGAAACAGGAGGGCATAACAGCCAAGCTAAAGAGTAAGGTCTATTTCTTTGCAAATAAACTTGACTTAAAGGGGCACTTAACTTGGATGAAAACTCCCCAATTTTTGAAAGTCCAAATAACTGAAGTATTCGAGGATAATTTGACTCAATTATGATTATGTAAACCAGATTAGTGAAAATCTTAGCCTGTGAGCCACTTGCAGTTGAGAAATTTTGGTTTAAAAGCTAAAAGAACAATAGGGTTGAGTAAATGACGTCATTTACTCACAATTTAGTTGCTGAATAAAACTGCTAATTTTCACACCCCACTTTTGACTGTCAAGAAATATGTTGCTTGGCTACTATCTGGGCCATATAGATAAGTTTAACCAAGTTTAAAGTCATTTCCAATTTTCATCCAAGTGCCCCTTTAAAGTATTTACAMACTGTTTATTTGTGACATTTTCAGGTTTACTGTAGAAGTACTGATACTGATCGCACAATAATGAGTGCTCAAGCACAGATGAATGGTTTATATCCTCCTCATGGAAATCAGGTGAGGTTATAAAGCAACGACAATGAGTGATGGGGTTGATTAAAATTTAACAGTTCACCACGAGACAATTTGACAAAGGAGGAATTTTGAAAAATGAACAGTCCCACGACTGAGCAAATTTCTCAAAGATTGTGGGGTCATCATTTTATCATCTGTGTTATGTCTTGCCCCCTGTCAACTCATAATGCCTTGCAATCGACCTTGCCAAAATTGTGGCCGCAAATTCAGTTGAGCTAAAATTAAACTGAGAGAAAAACCAATATCAGCACTGAAAAGAGCGTGTTTACTTTAGTAACCCTATAAAGATTCATTATGTCAGGTGTTATATCGGCCAAGAAAACTTAAGTTGACAAATTTACAGACATTTGTATGTCTGGGGGTGAGGGGCATACGCTATAGGGGTCTATTTGAGATGGGCACCACATTGTTGAAGTAGTCCATTTATCCAAGTAAGACTAAATATAGATACTGGACTCACTGCTCACCTTTGAGAGATGTCGAGGTCATTTCAGGGTTTGATCTGTGAGATGAGTTAGCTGTTTTGGGAACCTTTATCAAACCATTATTAAAACTTTTGGGTAGATCAAAGTAAGGAAACTTTGAATTAATCGAAGTTAGGTTTTTCAAGGTTCAATAAAAAATTGGTTTTTAAAGGTTTTTAATTTTTTTATTTAGATCTGGCGTCCCCATGTGGAGTGGCAACCAATACCAGTACATGTCGAATCACTAAAGAATGATAAAGTATGCCTGTCCAATATTATTCTTTAATTGCTGGCTGAGCTCAGGCAAGCTATCTCTGCACCGTCCTTCAAGTGCTTACTTGTTAGTCATTATTATGACAATCTTTTGTCTTCCTTTGAGATCACTATTACTGTTCTTGGGTGACGAAATGCCACTGCTCCAACTGTAGGGCCTAGCCATTCATTGATTAGTTACTTGTTTGATCTCTCTTTTTTTTTWAATTTTAGTTGGAGACTATCCTATAGGTGGAATGTCACCTGTCTAGTTCTCCGCAACAGTTTAACTATTGGAAGTTAAAATAAATAAACAAAAGAAAATTTAATTTATTATTTTTAAATCACACATTACTGTAGGTACTTCGATGATCTTTTCCTAGATCAATATTGGAAAGGGATGCTGATTGTTTTATTTTATTTTATTCAACAGTTACTTAGAGGTTCAAATTGTCCAAGATATGAAGAGCTGATGGAAAAGTCTTATAGTTCGCAAGAATACAAAGATATAAAACTAAAATACCAGGTTTGTTATTTGTGTTGGTAGTTGTGCTGTTGTATGTCAATGATAGTGTTAGGAAGTGGTCGTGTCGTAAGTAGTGATAGTGTTGTTGTGGTTGGTTGGTTGTGTCATTGACATAACAATTGTGTCTATTTTCAGGACTTCTATAAGGGCCTTCGCGTGCAGACTGGCCTTAATGACTCACTTAAATTTAGGAACCTTTATTCAGTACACGACAACTTGTTTTGTTCAGTAAGTAGTGAAACATTTTGCTCGTTATTGAAGTACATGAAACAGTAAGTAACATCCTCAAACTGTTTGGTGTTGTCTTGTTTTTTTTTTTTTTTTTTTTTTTTACAGCAATCTCATAATTTGACACTACCATCCTGGGCCAATACAACTGTCATGAGTGTGTTGAAAAATATTTCCAACTTCGAAATGTACCTGCTGACCTCCAGTAAAGAAATGGCTAAACTTCAATATGGTAAGGACGTATCGTGACGGTGCTGTGCCCGAGCATAAATTTTGATTGGCTGAGCAGCTATCTCGCACGCTGGCATTGGTTTATAGGATGTCGTCAATTCCCTTTCTGTGCCGTCTTCTGACGGCTGCAAACTGCACATGCTCGAAATATTGGTGGGAAAACAGCAGAGATGTACGAAACAAATGTGTCTACGTATTATTATTTTTAGTTTCTTTGATGCAAAATCGGCGCGCATTTTGATATACTTTTCGTACAATTGTTTTTCATTTATACCCCAGGAATTATAAGTATATAATTAGTCGACGAGGGTAAATTTAATCACAGGTTTTCTTTTTCGTGAAAACACTGAGCATAATGGTTTGTGATTGCTTGTTACAGGCCTTCTTCTTGGAGAGATGATAAAACATATGCAAGGTTTCGTTAATCACGAAAAAGGGATCAAGAAAGCCTACATCTACTCAGCTGTAAGTAACAGGATAAACATACTAAGGGATGAGGTCAACACAGAGTAGAGTCATGACCCTAGAGGAGTCAGGTTATGATGTTGCAAAGATGTTGAAAAGATGTTGCAAAGATGTTGCAAAGATGTTGCAAAGATGTTGCGAAGATGTTGCACAGATGCTGCAACGATGTTACAAAGATGTTGCAAAGATGTTGCGAAGATGTTGCACAGATNAGATGTTGCGAAGATGTTGCACAGATGCTGCAACGATGTTACAAAGATGTTGCAAAGATGTTGCGAAGATGTTGCACAGATGCTGCAACGATGTTGCAAAGATGTTGCAAAGATGTCGAAAGCTGTTGCAAGATGCTAAGATGCTGCAACCATGTTACAAAGGTGTTGCAAACGATGTTACAAAGATGTTGCAAATGGATGTTGCAAAGTTGTTGCAAAGTTGTTGCAAAGCTGTTGCAAAGATGCTGCAACGATGTTGCAAACGATGTTACTAAGATGTTGCAAAAATCTGCACAGATGTTGCAAAGATGTTGTAAAGATGTCGAAAGCAGTTGCAAAATGCTGCAATGATGTTACGAAGATGTTGCAAACGATGTTGCAAATATCTTGCACAGATGTTGCAAAGATCCTTAAGGACAACTAGACTCGATTTGATATCCATTAGCACCCTTCTTCCTTGCATGTTTAAGAGATATAAACATAGTGTCGCGAAAAAAGTCTTACTAATTTTGTCTTTCTATCTTTGCTAGCACGACACTACGATCAGCGGAATGTTAGCTGTTCTTGGTTTATTCGACCGAATTTCTCCTCCATATTCATCTGCTGTTATGTTGGAACTCTATTCATCTGATAACGGGTATGACCATCTACTGTCTTTGTATTTGTCAAAAAATAAAATCGCATCTACAATTTGTTTTAACGCATGGCCAGCCTTTAGGGGGGAGGGAGGCGATGTCCTCCTTTTAGTTTGGGATTCTTTTTCAACTTTTTTTGGTCCAAAATATTCCTAGAAAGTAGGAGATTAAGAATTTCCCTGGTTCTTTGGAGCATATCCCCGGAGCATCCCCTTTCCCCAGATTCCTGGATTAAACTGAACGAGGCATATATTGAAGTTTTATCCAGGCATTTATCAAAATTTTTTTTTCTTTTTTTTCTTTTTTCTGCAGAAATGACCAGTCTGTTCGTATCTTCTACCGATTCGGGCAAAGTGACAAGCCAAGACAGCTGACTCTTGAGGGATGTGATGCAGACTGTCCTCTCAACGATTTTATAGAGTAAGGGCTTGTTTACACGAATGTGAAAATGTAAAAACGATAGCTGGAGAACCGTCTCTTTTTTTTACAGACTGACAAAAGACTCCATCCCAAAAGATAGAGACGCAGAGTGTGGCGCTAAAGAAAAGATGTGCTTCAAGTCTATAGTTTATAAAAGTAAGTCAAACAGCAATAACTCACGCGTCATTGAAAGCGAGAAAAGGGAGAGGGTTTGAGACAATAGTGAAAGAGGAGAAGGAGAGAGGATAGTTGGATTGATAGGAAGGTAGGAAGGACAGAGGAAGAATCGAGGGAGGAAGAACGAAGGTAGAAGGAGGAAGGGACGAAGAAGGATGCCGAGAGAATGGATAAATGGAGGCAACAGAGTAAGAGCTGAGGAGGTTTGAGGAAAGAAAGGAAGGGCGCTGAGAGGAAGGAAGTAGAGAAGAAGAACGAAGGAATGAGGAACGAAGGGTATAGAGAGTGAGGGAAAGAAAGAGTCAATTTTTTGAATGTTTTTTTCTTTCTTCAGGTTTTCTTGCAGCGTTTGCAGGGACACTGGTCATTCTCATTCTACTTTCTTTCTGTCTTTGCTGCTGTTGGTGTAAACGTCGTCGTTCTCGTATGCAAGCGACAAGGGTAAACTTCGATGATGGTCTGTTGAAAGACGCGAGTCTGTTGCATAATCAAGACTATGATTCGGAGTGAAGGAAACAGTATATAATGTGCGGAAGGATTTCACGGCAGACATGTTGTAGGACAGGAATAGCTTTGCAGGACAAGAGATTTCAATCCCCAAGGCAAGAAATCCTGTTCGTGTTATTGCCGGCTCTGCCGTGAAACCTTTCATCTTAAGAAACATCACATAGTTCGCTATACTAGCTTCGCCCGGGTCACAATCATTCAATATTTAGTCTGAAATACCGTCAGGAAATTAATTTACGAATATTTGAACGATAGGAGTGGCAGAAACAATCAACAAAACAAATTAACTAACAATAATAACGACAACAGCAACCGAACAGCAGCATCAGCAACACCACCAGTAACAACAGTAGTAGCAACAACTGTAACAGCAACAACTACAACGAAGACAACAATAGCTAGAAAATAGTGATTTTGATAAATATATTTATCATGGATGATAAAATGAAATATATTTAATGTTAAAAAATAAAAATGTCATTAGTACACCAATCAGGCATACTCGATCATCTCTCAAAACACACAAAGCGCTTTGATTGGTCGAAAAATGTAACACTTGATGAATGAAAAATGAGATAAAGACGAAATTCAAAGCAATTCCACGACTTTTTCTGGTGTTCATAAGTTTATTTAAGATATATATAGCTCTACAAGTTAGTCGATACGGATCATCTAAATACTGTGTGCCGTAAAAACTAATTACTATATTGGTGTTACACACTTTATCGTTTACTACTTATTACCGTCAATGTGAATATCCCATCCTGAGAGAACATCTACATTATGGATGTTCAAAAAGTTGTCAATTTACGGAAAGAACCGACAGGTCACATGACCACTGGATGACATTGTTTTGATAACGCAAGCTATAACAACTTGTGAGGCTTAAGTTGTGAACAAAGGGATCTGGCGTGACTCAAAGTAATCTGGCGTGATTCAAAAGTCACGAATCACGCCAGATTCCTTTGTTCACAACTTAAGCCTCACATCGGTGCGAGTTTTGAATTTGGTCTATGGCTAACTGATATATAATATATATATATATAAAGAGGCTTGTAAAGCGCCTATACAAGCCGGTTCTAGGCGCTGTAAAAAATAATAAATAAATACTATACAAACATAGATTACAAATCATAAGCAAGTCTAAATAAATAAGTCTTAAGTTCAGTTTTAAAAGATTCAAGAGAGGTATTGTTCCTCATAGGATTAGGCAGAGAGTTCCACAACACAGGAGCGGCAACGGTGAATGAACGATAACCATAACACTTTAGATTATACGGTTTTACAGACAGCAATATACTTGAGACGACGAACGGAGATTACGAGCAGGACAATATCTATTTATTAATTCTTGAATGTACATAGGAGCAGAGCCATATAGAGCTTTGAAGGTTAGTAGGAGAATTTTAAA